TCTAGGATTTTATATTTTTTTCCAACGTTTATTTATTTTTGGGACAGAGAGAGACAGAGCATGAACGGGGGAGGGGCAGAGAGAGAGGGAGACACAGAATCGGAAACAGGCTCCAGGCTCTGAGCCATCAGCCCAGAGCCCGACGCGGGGCTCGAACTCACGGACCGCGAGATCGTGACCTGGCTGAAGTCGGACGCTTAACCGACTGCGCCACCCAGGCGCCCCAGGATTTTATATTTTTAAGTTTTTCTAAGTGATCTCTGCAAAAGAACGTGGAGCTCAAACTCCAAACCATGAGATCAAGTCACATGCTCCACTGACTGAGCCAGCCGGGTGCCCCTTTAATTTTTCCCTTTTGAGAGAGGTATTTTCTGGGTTCTAACTCATCCAGTCTACTTTTGGGGAATTTTTTTTCTTCTAGAAAACATTCTTCCTTTTATAATATCCTGTTCTTACTGTGTTTTGAGTATCTTCTCTAATCTAAACGTACCCAGGGCAAATGTACCAATTTGCAGGGCCCAATGCAAAATGCGTGTATGGGCCCCTTGTTTAGAAAGGATTGAGCATTTCTGGGGCGCCTGGGTGGCTCAGTTGGTTAAGCGTCTGACTCCTGGTTTCGGCTCAGGTCATGATCTCGCGGTTCGTGGGTTCGAGTCCCGCACTGGGCTCTGTGCTGACGGCATGGAGTCTGCTTGGGATTCTGTCTCCCTCTCTCTCTGCCCCTCCCCTGCTCTCTCTCTCTCGCTCTCTGTCTCTCTCACTGTCTTTCAAAAATAAATAAACATTAAAAAATGATTTGAGAATTTCCAGTTGGCAAGAGCAGAACATTACAATAAGCACAGAGCCCCTCAGATAAAGGACCACATGTGACTGTGCAGGTCACATCCCCGTGAAGCCTAAAGCCGGCCTTCTCTGCTATTTCCCTTATCATGTTTATTTGGTCCTCTGAATTGTTCTCTTTCCTCTGGGGTCAGTTTGCTACAGTTCTGCCCTTTTCCCTCAATACTTCTGTTGCCGGCTGCTAGTTTCTTGAGGCATCTGGTGAGCCTTCCTCGTCAATCCCATTTTCAGACAAACAAGGGGCTGGGTGGCTTTTTAAAAGTAACTCAGGGGCACCTGGGTGGCTCAGTTGGTTAAGCGTCAGACTTCAGCCCAGGTCATGACGTCCCAGTCTGTGAGTTCAAGCCCCGCGTCTGGCTCTGTGCCGACAGCTCGGAGCCCCGAGCCTGCTTCGGATTCTGTGTCTCCCTCTCTCTCTGCCCCTCCCCCACTTGCTCTCTGTCTGTCTCTCAAAAATAAATAAACATTTAAAAAAATTTTTTTAAATCAAAGTAACTGGTCTGATGGGGCCGGCTCAGTCGGTAGAGCACATGACTCTTGATCTCGGGGTCATGAATTCGAGCCCCACGTTGGGTGTAGAGATTACTTAAAAATAAAATCTTAAAAAATAAGTAACTGTTTTGAAATTTGGGGCTGTTATAAATATAGTCCTGCTTTCCCACTGGCTTCTTAGTCTAGTTGAAGGGATGACTGAGAACTGTGTTTGGGGACAGCACTTGGTGTTAGGAGGGAGAAGCCAGTCTTTGCTGGGAGTGAGCTCCCAGAGGCTTCATGCAGTTTCTTTATTTCTTTTTTTAACGTTTATTTACTTTCGAGGGAGAGGGAGAGACAGAGCGTGAGCAGGGGAGGGACACGCAGAGAGAAAGAGAGGGAGACAATCTGAAACAGGCTCCAGGCTCCAAGCTGTCAGCACAGCACCCGATGCGGGGCTCAAACTCACGAGCTGTGAGATCATGACCTGAGCCGAAGTCGGAGGCTTAACCACTCAACCGACTGAGCCACTCAGGCGCCCGGAGAGATCTTTTAAAGTAGAAATGAGCAGTCGCCACTGAGGTCTCTCCGGCACATCCAGTCTGCCAGTCGTCACGTATTTGAATAAGGCCTTTCCAGACCATTCCTTCCAACCGAGCTGGCTTAGAACAGAAGAACCACCTTGCTGACATTTAGAATGGTGAAAAATAGGAGCGCCTGGGTGGCTCAGTCAGTTAAGCGTCCGACTCTTGGTTTTAGCTCAGGTTGTGATTGATGGGGTTTTGGGGGTATGGGTGGTGGTCGTGGGCTCCGGCCAAGAAAGAATTCTTGAAGACGTCTTTGGTGCAAAAAGGTGATTTTATGAAAGCCCGGGGACAAGATCCGTGGGCGGGAAGAGATGCCTTCATGCAGTTTCTTTAGAGAACAGTCCTCCAGTATGGTTTCGTTTTTCCCGTGGATGAATGTTGGGCAGCCGGAGACCTGTGTGGCGAAGCACGTGGGGAGCAGGAGAGGGAGTGGGGAGCCCATAGGCGCAGTCATTGCGAAGACGGGCCGACCTCTGTCCTCACTCTGCTCTCTCACTCTCTGCCTGCACACCTACCCCAGCCTGGCCCCCCTCGACCGCTGGCTCTGGGTCCAAAGCCTCTTGAGGTTAGGGTTAGCCTCCTTGAGGCTCCATTGTGCCCACTTTGAGTTTGACCCTGGCCCCTACACTTGGGTCTTTCTGGACCCAACACTTGGGCCCCTACACTTCTGTCTTTCTGGAAAATAGTGGCATTCCTTTTTTGTGGATGGGCTTCCTCCTGTTTACTTTGCGTTTGCATTTCTTTGCCGTCCATAGAGAGGACGCCCTTTGAGAGGGAGATCAGGCTGCCCAGATTCCAATCCCCGGTCCACGGTCTGACTGCTGTGTGACCTTTTTGGGAGTCATTTTGCCTCTCCGGGCCTCAGTTTCCTCCTGGTGTGATCAACTGGGATAATACAGAAGTCACAAATGGCCACACCCATTCAGTTCCTGGGTCTGCAGATCTGTCTGTTATCTGGCCCATACGGTGCCGTAATTTTTTTCTAATGCATTGCGAACCTTTAAAAATTGGGTGACTTCACATGGAAACTGGGGTTTCCAGTTTCTTTTGAACAAACTGGAAGATGTGGCCAAAGCAGGCCAACCTTCCTACCTGGCGGTAAAGGAGCCAGAGTACAGATTGGCACAGACTTCAGGCTGGCTGTACCTTCTGGTTTGCCAGTCACCACCACTCCCTGTTTCCTCCTACCCAGCGGCCTCGTTTAAGATACTGCCCATCTCAGGGGCGCCTGGGTGGCTCCGTCGGTTGAGCGTCCGGCTTCGGCTCAGGTCATGATCTCACGGTTTGTGAGTTCGAGCCCCGCGTCGAGCCCCGCGTCGGGCTGTGTGCTGACAGCTCGGAGCCTGGAGCCTGTTTCAGATTCTGTGTCTCCCTCTCTCTCTGCTCCTCCCCTGCTCATGCACGCTCTCTCTCTCTCTCTCTCTCTCTCTCTCTCTCTCTCTCTTTCAAAAATAAGTAAACATTAAAGAAAAATTTTTTAAAAAGGATACTGCCCGTCTGGGAGTTAAGCGTCCTATTCTTGGTTTCAGCTCAGGAAGAGATCTCCCAGTTTGTGAGTTCGAGCCCCACTTTGGCTTGGTGCTCATGGGGGCAGAACCTGTTTGGGATTCTCTCTCTCTCCCTCTCCCTTTCTCTCTGCCCCTCCCTTGCTCCCTGTCCCTCAAAATAAATAAACTTAAAAAAAAAGAAAAGGATACTGCCTGTCTGTTGGAGGCATTTGAACTTGGTTTTCCTGGGATACCGTTTCCAGGGCATCGAGCACAGTATCAGGCACATAGGACTGTTACTGTTAAGAGGCCAGCCAGGGGCAGCAGTGTGAGTGGGGGCCCAAACCCAGCCCTTGCTCTTATTGCCAGGCCAAGCTACCCCAGGGTTGGATTCACCCAGAAGGGATGGGTTTTTTTTAAAGCTTTATTTATTTATTTATTTTTTTTTTAGTATTTTTAAAGTTTATTTATTTATTTTGAGAGAGAGAGAGAGCACATGTTGGGGAGGGGCAGAGAGAGAGGAAGAGAGAGAGAATCCCAAGCAGACTCTGTAATATCAGTGCAGAACCCGATGGGGGACGTGAACCCATGAACCTCGAGATCATGACCTGAGCCAAAGTCGGCCGCTTAACCGACTGAGCCAAGATTTTCTCTCTCTTTTCTTTTTTTTTCTTTTTTTAAGGCATCCCTTCCAGGGGTGCCTGGGTGGCTTGGTCAGTTGAGCATCTGACTTTGGCTCAGGTCATGGTCTTGAGGTTTGTGAGTTCAAGCCCCACATCAGGCTCTGTGCTCACAGCTCGGAGCCTGGAGCCTGCTTCGGATTCTGTGTCTCCTTCTCTCTCTGCCCCTCCCCTGCTCACACTCTATTTCTCTCAAAAATAAATAAGCATTTAAAAAAAATGTTTTTTTTTAAATAAAAAGGCATCCTTTCTGGATGGCTCAGTTCGTTAAGCATCTGACTTTGGTTCAGGTCATGATCTCACAGTTCGCGGGTTTGAGCCCCACTTCCGGCTCTGTGCTGACAGCTTGGAGCCTGGAGCCTGCTTCAGATTCTGTGTCTCCTTCTCTCTCTGTCCCTCCCCCACTTGCTCTCTCTCTCTCAAAAATAAACACTAAAAAAATCTTTTTTGAAATCAACCCAAAGACTGATAAAAGCCAGCATAGGCCCTGATTATCAGCAGCTCGTCTGACTTCTTGAAAGGGAAGCCACATCAAATCTTTGAACCTGCATGTAATTCTTAAGAGCAAAGAATTCTGATCTCGGCTTACTGAGAAACAACATCAGCGCTATGGTTCAAGAGCAAAGACTTAAAATTAATAAAGGAAGATGTCAGGTAGAGGAAACTCCCCCGAGGGCACGAAAAACAAGCCATTCTGTCAAAAATTAAAAAGACAATTGACAACACGTGGTCCTGGCGACTGCACCTAGACTGAGAACACATCGTTGAAGGGACTGAGAACGGCCCATTGTTGCCGAGAAAACCTATTGGGTGTTTTTTTGTCAAGTGAAATATACACTTACTGTATGATCCGAGAATGTCCCTCCTGGGTATTTGCTCATGAAAAATGAACATGTATGTCCATACAAACACTCATACCTGAATGTTCATTGCAGCTTTATTCATAACAGCCCCAAACGGGAAAGAGCCCGATGTCCCATCATGGTGAGTGGATAAACAGATTGTGGTTTATCTGCTCGATGGAATACTCCTCAGCGATAAAAAGGATCCAAGTACCGATTGACGCATGCAACAACGTGGGCGGATCACAGAGACGTTATCCTGAAGGAAAGAAGACACAGGGGAACATACTGTATGTATCAGCCAGAGTCCAATCGGGAGACAGAAACCAGGCAGTACATTGAAGGGAGAACGTTTAATAGACAGAATTATTAATTATAGCAGGGGAAATAGCTACTAAGAAATGAAGAGAATGCTAAAGAATATAGAAATAGCAGAGATCAGGAGCAGTACCACCTCTGTGATCCAAGACTGAAAGCTTGAGGGCGCCTGGGTGGCGCGGTGGGTTAAGCCTCTGGCTTCTGCTCAGGTCATGGTCTGGCGGTCCACAAGTTGGAGCCCCGCATCAGGCTCTCTGCTGTCAGCACGGAGCCGGCCTCAGATCTTCTCTCTCAGTCCTCCCCCACTTGCACGCTCTCTCTCAAAAATAAACATTAAAAAAAAAAAAAAAAAAGACTGAGAGCTTGAGAAAGATGACAGTCCCAGACCCTGATCTCATTCGAGAACTCTTGGAGGAGGCTCACAAAGGGCATAGGGGCCGCCCCCCGCCCCGGTCGTGCTGCACCTTGAACTTGATGGAAAGGCCCCCCTCCGGAACTTGCCAGAAGTCTGTCCAGCGGGATGCTGGGGAATGCAGTTCGCAAGAAGTGGGGCGCTCGGGGCAATAGGAAACCGCCTGAGGGGGGGCACCAGGGGACGGCGCTGGCCGCGGGGTGCTGGCAGGCACGGGAGAAGCTTGCACGCTGCAGGTGCCTGAGAAGCTGCCCTGGGGCGACGAAGCTGGAAGAAAAAAAAAAAAAAAAAAAAAGCCTTCTTCCTGTCGTGTTCCTCTGGCGCCCTCTACTGGGGAAATTCAACCTGTCAGCCGGCACAGAAAAGTTTAAATGGCCAAACTCCAGTTTGGCCAAGGGGGGGATCTATGAGGCAGTATATGCCTCTGTGGATTCGCCTTGGGGAGAGGGTACACAGGGGAGGGGAGTGGGCACATGTGAAGCTCCCTGCCCCGTCTGAGCTCTGCCAACTCCTCACAGCACCCGCGCTGAAAGGGTATGTTATATGATTCCATTTGTATGGGATTCTAGGAAAGAATGTTAAGCATATGATCTCATGGTTTGTGGGCTCGAGCCCCACTTGGGGTGAGCCCTGCTTCTCTCTCTCTCTCTCTCTCTTCTCTCTCTCTCTCTCTCTCTCTCTCTCTCTCTCTGCCCTTCAGTCACTTGTGCCCTCTCTCTCCCTCTCACAATAATGCTAAAATGCTAAAATTTTAGCCTGGGTGGCTCATCGGTTGAGCGCCTGACTCTTGGCTTCAGCTCGCGTCATGATCTCACAGTTTGTGGGTTCGAGCCCCAGGTCAGGCTCCAAGCTGGTGGTGTGGAACCTGCCTGGGATTCTGTCTCCCTCTCTTTCTGCTCCTCCCCTACTTGCTCTCCATCTCTCTCAAAATAAATAAAAATTGAAAAAATTAAATAATCTTTAAAAATGATGCTAAAATTGATAAAGGTAAAATCAATACAAATTCAGTAATAAAATTAATGAAGGACGAACATCCTATAAAATGAAGACCACTTAATGAATCATGAGCCTTGAAAATGAAATTCTAGGACCTCCCGGGTGGCTTAGTCAGTTAAGCGTCCAACTTCGGCTCAGGTCATGATCTCATAGTTCTTGAGTTCGAGCCCCACATCGGGCTCTGTGTTATCAGCACAGAGCCCCGTTCAGATCCTCTGTCCACCTCCCTCTCTCTGCCACCACCCCCCCCCCCCCCCCGTGCGCTCGCTTTTTCTCTCTCTCTCAAAAATAAACATTTAGGGAAAAGAAAGAAAGAAAATGAAATTGTATTATTTGGCCTTTGACAAAAGTAGGCTTTAGCTGGAGAGACTGTATGGAGATAGACAAGAGCCTGCCAAGCCCCAGCTGTTCGAGGCTCCCCATCCCAGGCGCCAGGCAGGGGACTGAATAAGCCCTCAGATGACCCAGCCGCACCCCTGCCGGATGACAACTGCACTCCAGCCCCCGAGAACTGCCGACCTGCGCCCAGGCAACTCCCAGAGCCAGAAAAAAAAAAAATCATAAAATAATGGTTATTGTGAGTGGACTCCAGCAAACAAACCATGTCAATGGTGTCATCACTGAGTCATGGAGGTATTTTGGGGCAATATTTTCCAGTCACTATAAAAAGGCCACTGGCCCCACACAATTTGAGGAACTGCTGAGGAGAGAGATAAGCGAGCTTACTAGTTTCTAGGGACGCCTTCGCTTTAAATAGTCCCATATTTTGTTTGGCAAGTCTGGGGAGAGCTTCTCTGACATCTTTTTGTCCCTTTCCGTGGACTACCCTCTCTGCTTATTGTTAGGGTTTCTCCTAAACCTTTTACAGAAAAGACTCAAGCTGTACAGCCTGATGAATATTTAACACACACATATAGCCAGGCCTCGGGTCAGGAAACGGAAACAAAATCCTTTCTAAATGAGTACATCTCTGCCTGCTTAGAATTTCTTTTTAATATATATGTATTTTGGGGGCGCCTGAGTGGCTCAGTCGGTTGAGCGTCTGACTTCTGCTCAGGACATGATCTCATGGTTTGTGAGTTCGAGCCCCGCGTCGGGCTCTGTGCTGACAGCTCGGAGCCTGGAGTCTGCTTCGGATTCTGTGTCTCATTCTCTCTCTGCCCTTACCCCGCTTGTGCTCTCTCTCTGCGTCTCAAAAAATTAAAAATGTAAAAAAAAAAAAAAAGAAAAGAGCATATATGTATTTTTAAGTTTATTTATTTATTTTGAGAAAGAACGCACAAGCAGGTGAGGGGCAAAGAGAAGGAGACACAGAATTCTGCGCCATCGGCACAGAGCCCGATGCGGGGCTTGAACTCACGAGCCCTGAGATCATGACCTGTGCTGAGATCATGACCTGTGCTCAACCGACTGAGCCACCCAGGTGCCCCTGCCCAGTTAGAATTTTTAATGCTGCCTGAAATTCTCTTAGCAGAGATTTTTTTTTTTCTTAAGATTTTATTTTCAGGTAATCTCTACACCCAACGCGGGGCTCAAACTCACAACCTCGAGATCAAGAGTCACAGGCTCCACCGAAGGAGCCAGCCAGGCGCCCCAATGGCAGAGAATTTGTTGTTGCCCTTCGGCACATGTGGTCACCATGAAGTGGGCCATCGTGTCATCGACCACAATCTCAAGGTGCAAAAGACTCCGGATGGTTAAATACAATGAAATAAAGGTATCACACCAACAAAAATACCTATCGTCAGAATAGCTAAAACGTGGAAGCGGCCCATGTCCAACAGCCGATGAATGGATCAGCAAAATGGAATATTAAGCAGCTTTAAAAAGGAAGGGAATTTGGGGCGCCTGGGTGGCGCAGTCGGTTAAGCGTCCGACTTCAGCCAGGTCACGATCTCACGGTCCGTGAGTTCGAGCCCCCCGTCAGGCTCTGGGCTGATGGCTCAGAGCCTGGAGCCTGCTTCCGATTCTGTGTCTCCCTCTCTCTCTGCCCCTCCCCCGTTCATGCTCTGTCTCTCTCTGTCCCCAAAATAAATAAACGTTGAAAAAAAAATTTAATAAAAAAAAAAGGAAGGGAATTCTGGGATGCCTGGGTGGCTCAGTCGGTTAAGCATCCAACTCTTGATTTTGGCTCAGGTCATGATCTCAGGGTCGTGGGATCAAGCCTCGAGTCGGGCTCCACGCGAGGCATGGAGCCTGCTGGAGACTCTCTCTGCCCCTGCCCCACTCTCTCATCAAATTTTTTTTAAAAAGGAAAGGAATTCTGATTTATGCTACAACACGAATGAACCTTGAGGACATTACGCTAAGTGAACAGGCCAATCACAAACCGGTGCTGTATGATTATTCCTCTTACGTGAGTTACTTAGAGTGGTCGAAATCGTACAGACGAAAAAGACAGTGGTTAGCGGGGGCAAGAGGGAAGGGGGTGGTGGGGAGTTACTGTTTTACAAGGTGAAAAGACTTTTGGAGATGGATGGCAGGGATGGTGACACGTTAATATATTTAATATCACTGAATTGTACACTTAAAAAGGGTTATGATGCTAAACTTTATGTTACATGGGTTTTACCACCAAAAAGAGAACGATGGAGAAAAAGAATTAGCCCCGTAAACAGGCAACAAATATAAATAAAGTAGATTTCTGAATTAAAAAATGATAATATGCTAGTAGTCAGTACTTAACCACAGCATTGTTCGAAAACAAAAAATCAAGGGCGCCTGGGTGGCTCAGCCGGTTAAGGGTCGACTCTTGATCTTGTGAGTTCAAGCCCCGCATTGGGCTCTGCACTGTCTGCAGGCTGACAGCCTGCTTGGCATTCTCCCTCTCTCTCTGCCCCTTCCCTGCTTGTCCTGCCTCTGTCTCTCCCAACATAAATCAGTAAACTTAAACAAAAAATCAAAGAAACCAAAAACACCTGCTATTCCCGAATTACGTTTCCTAGGCTCAAAGGAGATAAATACGTTTCATAGGCAAGGAAGTGGGTAGTCGGGATTGGAACCCAGATTGGTCTGTGTCTGCACTCAGGGTGCCTGCTGTTTCTTACCGGGCGGGGGCTCTTTTGGCTTTTGGGGCAGGACAGTTCTTTGTGGAAGGTACCATCCCACACAGTGCAGGTCACTGAGCCTTGTCCCATTTAGTTAGTGCTGCATAACAGACTACTCAAAACATAGTGACCTAAAACGATAACCTTTATTTCACGGCTCTGGGGGTTGGCCGGGCTCAGCTAAGCTGTTCTCAGAGGCTCACACGCAGTGCCGTCTGACAGTGACTGGGGTTGGGTCACCTGAAGGCTTATTCGCCCCTGTGTCTAGCCCCCGGGACGTGACTCAAACAGCTGGGGCTCCCCAGACTTTTCTCCGCCTGAATTCACGGGGTCTCTCCAGTGCGATGACTTCAGGGCAGCCAGACTTAAGCAATGACTCGGGCAGGGGTGTCCTGGAGCCGGCTTGTGAGAGCAAGACTGTGGGCAGCTCTCCAGCCCCACAGTTCGGGGACTTCATGTTGGTAGCTTGCGATGAGCGGCGGCAGGTGCATTTACCCAGACGTCAGTAAACGCTATGGACCCAGACTCTTTTTCTCCTCCTTGTTAACCATTTAGCCCGCGCACCCACTGGAGTCAGGGCTCCCAAGGCACCTGTCCCAAGAGAGCCAGGCAGTGACCTGTATCTTTTACGACCCCGCCTTGGAAATCCCTTAGCGATGTCACATCTGTGGTGCTCTGAAAGTTGAAGCAGTCACAGAGGTCTGCCCGTGTCAAGGGGAGGGGTGTGGACTCTTAATGGAGGGCAGTCAAGTCCCAGAAAAGCATGTGACGTAGGATATGTTACTATAGCCATCGTGGTCTGCAGAGCATCACGGGTCCTGGAAACTGCCTGCCAGCAGCATCCCCTGGTCGCTGTGCGGGCCAGGAAAATAACCACACCCCTCCCCCCCCCAACATACGCAGCCCCAAACACTCTGACAGCAGGGCATTGTTGTGCCTTACGTGTCCCATACTGGCTCAGCCGATAGTTGGCATTCAGCCGTGTGGACATTATGGCCATAAGGCTCCTTATGGCCCTTTAAGCAATTTGTTTTGTTTTTAAATGTGTATTTATTTAGTTTAGAGAGAGAGAATGCGCGCGCGCGCACACACACACACACACACACACACACACACGGGGGAGGGGCAGAGAGCGAGGGAGTCACAGAATCCAAAGCAGGTTCCAGGCTCTGAGCTGTCAGCACAGAGTCTGGCACAGGGCTCGAACCCACAAACTGTGAGATCATGACCTGAGCCAAAGTCGGACGCTTAACCGACTGAGCCATCCAGGCGCCCCCCACTCCCCCCCCCCAGACAAGCATTTTGTATACTCAGGGCTCGTAAGGTACATCACTTGAAGGTCCTTGCTCCTTGGCAAAGTCTGCCCGCACTCATCTTGTGAGGAGGCCACCCCAGCTCCAGAGATCCCTTGTTCGCCAGTGTCCAGCACATTCTTTTTTTTTTTTTTTTTTTTTTTTTTGATCAGCACATTCTTAAGGAGAGCCAAGCCAGGAAACCACACTCTGATGAGTTTCACGTCCATGACAGGCAAATTGGTAAGCTTGGTATTAAATTGTTGCTAATTATTAATGCAACTAAGAACCACTTGGGGAAAAGCACACCCTGTCTCTTGAAGCCTGTCTTATAACCAATCACCGAATCAGGGTGAAGGGGGGTATCAGGACCCATGTGGGTGGATCACTAGCCCGACGCAGGCTTCTTAACAAAACCTTAATCAACTTATTTAAAAATAATAACAGCTGTCAGGAGTTGAGCACCTCCCGACGTTAGACAACATAACAACATAACAAGCATTAGATCGTTGGAGCCTGTTAACCCGGGGCAACCTCCTGTGATCGGTTTGCCCATTACACAAGATGATGGGATTCAGTGAGATGACCCAGCTTAAATGCGCGGCACAGTCGCTTAATAAAGGCCCAATAAATGTCACCAGATGAAAAAAATCATAGCTAAATGGCTATTCGTCATTCTTTTATGATGTGTAATAATAATAGCAACTAACATAATTTGGCGTTCAATATTAATTTAATGTCACTCATTTCTGAGACACAGCGGTTTTTCTTAAGTGCTTTACAAACATGAACCCGTTTCATCTTTACAACAATCCCGTGCAGTAGGTACTGTTACCATCCTCGTTCTCAGAGAAGGAAGCGGCACTAAGAGGTTGAGTGATGTGACCTCGGTCACATAACCACCTAGCGGCAGAGCCAGAACTTGAACCCAGGCTGGCCAGGATCCAGCCACAAGGTGTTTATCGCTAGGCAGTTCTGCCCCGATGGAGAAAATGCAGTGAGTTTCTCACTAGGTCTTGAGCTCCATCACTGAGTTCTTGCTAAATAAAGGTGTTTCACCTTGCCGTGCCTCAGTTTCCTCATCTGTGGAGTGGGTTTCTGATGTGATGATTCATTTGTCCATTCCGTGAACATCTGTTCATTGAACACTTACTATGTGTCAGGCACTGGTGTGGACGGTGTGGTGTGTAATATACAAAAGAAACCATAACTCTTCCTCATGGTGATTATAATGCAGTTAGGGAGACAGGCAATAAAGAAAGTAAAGTAGATTATATACACTTGTGTGTGTGGTGTGTTAAGAGGTGATAAGAGCTTTAGAGAGGTATAAAATAAGGATAAAGGAAGGGGGAGTAGGTGGCGATCAGGAGGCCCTGAAATTGTAAACAAGGCGGCCAAGGATGGTCTCATGGAGAACTTGACATTTGAGCAAAGACTTGAAGTCTGGAGGTGAGCCTAGAAATCCTCTGGATCCGGGTGGCAGGAACAGCCCATGCGAAGGGCCTGGGGTGTGGGGGCTGGTGTCGCTGGGCAGAGGGGGTAAGGGGGAGTTGAGGGCAAGGAGGTGATGGGGGCAGACTGTGTGGGCGCTTGTGGGCCACAGTGAGGACTCTGCCTTTATTCTGAGTGAGGTGGAGCCCGAGGGGGGCGGGGGCGGGCTCTGAGCAGGACAGGGACAGGACCTGACTCAGGTGCTCACCCCGACCTGGCTACTAGTGAGGAACAGACACCTGGGGAAAGAAGCAGGGAGACAGTGATGGGCCAGGTGGGAAGTGTACGAATGGGCAAGATCCCCAAGGGAGTGAGTGGTGATGGAGAATACAGGAGGTTCAAATACCAGTCCCTGACATTGCCAGATCAGAGGGAGGATGGACAGTCAAGGAGACTCAGCAGGAGCCACCAGGCAAACTCGGAGGGGTCCAGAGGTTGTGGGGCTTGGAGCCAAGTGAAGAGGGAATAACCCTCAATGGCAAGTGCTGCTCAACAGGTCCAGCAAGGTGAGGACTGAACTCTGACTTTGATTTAGCACCGAGGGGGTCACTGGTGACCTTGGCATGTCAGGGGGGGCGAAGCCTGATTAGACAAGATTTAAAAGAGAACAGAAGTAGAAAATATGGAGGCAGAGACTGGAGACCGCTTTTTTGAGAAGTTTTACCATAAAGAGGAGCAAAGAGGGGTGCCTGGGTGATTCAGTCGGTTAAGCATCCTACTTCAGCTCAGGTCATGATCTCACGGTCCGTGGGTTCGAGGCCCACGTCGGGCTCTGTGCTGATGGCTCAGAGCCTGGAGCCTGCTTCAGATTCTGTGTCTCCTTCTCTCTCTCTGCCCCTCCCCTGCTCATGCTCTGTCTTTCTGTCTCTCAAAAATAAATAAACGTTAAAAAAATTTTTTTTAAAGAAAAACATTTAAAAATTAAATTTAAAAAGAGAGAGAGAGAGAGAGAGAGAAGCAAAGAAATGGGGCCAGAGCTGAAAGGGGAGGTGAAGTGAAGAGAGGGTTTGTTTTCAGACGAGAGGGATGACTGTGTGGACTGCTGAGAATGATCCAGTGCGAAGGGGGAATCCAAGGCGTGGCAGAGAGTGAGGAGAACTTGAGACTGAGGCCTGGAATGAGCGGGAGGGGTGGGAGCAGGCTGAGCCGGGGGCTGGGGGCGGGGGCTGACGTTTGCAGGGCAATCAGAGGGGAAAGCACAGAGGCCACGGGGCAGGTAGCTGGTAGATTGGGTGATGGGTACATGTGAAAGTTCACTTCTCATTGCTTGTATTTTTTTCTGCAAAATAAGAAAGCAAGGGGAAAGTGAAGAGGTGGAAGGCAGGGTGTGATAAGCTAGGCTAGCGCTGGGGGAGAAGGTGCGAAATAGTTATGTATAGAGAGGAGGAGCCTGGGCTGGCCCGTGTGGGTCAAGTTCACAACCTTGAAGTGAGACCAGCCAGTGGAGTTGTGTGTTCTTTGGCGACCTTAAAGTTGGGTAGGCAGGGGGCTGATTGAACCAAGGTCACGTGTCGGAGGAAGCCGGAGGCCAGGATGTATGCAAAGAATGTTTTTAACGAGTATCTGAGCAGTTTAAACTGGATAAGGAAGACACGAGGACTTGGGGGGGATGAGGGGCAGTGAAAAGGAGGTAGACGCAAAGGATGGGGGAATCACAGTGGGCTGGAAGGATTGTGGGGGTCTGGGGCACTGGAAGGAAAGAGCTGGAGAGAGAAAGGGTGATGGTTGGCAAGGAGATTGAGGTCTTGAAGAATCTGTGGTTATTGAGACAAGGTCTAGGTGTGACCATAGAAGGGAGAAGAGAGCAGGTCAGAGAACAGAGAGGCCGGTGGCCCAAGGAAGGATCATATACCTGGATGTGGAAATGACCAGGGATGTTGAGAAGAGCAGCGTGAGTGGCAGTGAGCCTGAAGCTAAAGTCATGAAGTGAGTAGTGATCTGGGTCAGCAGATGGGTGCACAAGGCAGCCTAATGAACCGCCTATTCTGATGACACAGGAATCATAGCTGGGGAGTTTGAGGGGAGGATGGGAGAATGGTCTGGAAGTAGCACCAAGGAGCAAGATTCACCCATTTGGAAGGGTCACAGGAGAGCTGGGTTTTGGTGAGAGCAAGATGACAAGAATGTTCAGCGAAGAGAGCGAGGAAATGGGTTTTGCCGAAGACAGTTAAGAAGTTCCAAAGGCCCAAGGAGTTGGGAGCCGGCTGGGCGATGGGGGTGGAGATGGTTTCCTCCTCGGTGGGTTTTTCTGTGTGTTCGTGGTCATACACGTAAACTGACTAGCCTGACTCAAGTGCACCGGCCAGACATGGAAGCCGTGGTGAGCGGTAGTGGGGGTCATGGTCAGACCAGGGGTATTTTGCTCGAGGGGGAAAGGTGGGAAACCGATCGCCCCAGAGCCAATGAACGGTCAGGAAATAGGTACCCGGTTTTCACGGCCCTAGCAGTCCCCTGGTCCTCCACCGGAGCTGGTGGGGTCATGGTCAAGCTGCAGGGACCTTGCGTCCTGGGAGAGATGAAGGGAGGCCAAATTGCCCTGACCTGCTGACCCCTCTCAACCCGCAGGATTCCGGCGGCCTGAGATGGGCGCCCGGCCTTCGCGGCGGCGGCTGCCCGCGGACCAGCCCATAGCCTTGGACGCGCTGCCCCCGGAGCTGCTCGTGCAGGTGCTGAGCCACGTGCCGCCGCGCGCATTAGTGACGCGCTGCCGCGCAGTGTGCCGCGCCTGGCGCGACGTGGTGGACGGGCCCACCGTGTGGCTGCTGCAGCTAGCCCGCGACCGCAGCGCCGAAGGCCGCGCACTCTACGCTGTGGCCCAGCGTTGCCCGCCCAACAACGAGGACGAGGAGTTCCCGCTCTGCGCCCTGGCGCGTTACTGCCTGCGCGCACCCCTCGGCCGCAACCTCATCTTCAACTCCTGCGGAGAGCGTGTGTGCCGGGGGCGGGGCCAGGGGCGGGGCCGGGGAGACAGGAGTGTTGTGTGGGGTGGAGGGGCCGGGCGAGGATTAGTGGACGTGGTCAGGATAATGAGGCAGGGCGGGGCCGGGCAGGCAGCCAGGGGGCGTGGCCGAGGGAAGAGGAGACTGGGAAACTGGCCGGGGGCGGGGGAAAGAGATGGACTGGGGCGGGGGGGAGGGGGCAGGTGCTGTGGGCAGTGAAGGAAGACGAACTGGATGGGCGAGAAAGCTGGAGGAGCCAAGAGTCGGGCCCCGGCAGGAATGACACGTGCTTGGACTGTAGATACAGTGGGCGGGGTTAAAGGGGGAGGAGCCGGGGAGGACTCGGGGAAAGCCAATTGGGTGGCTGGCGGGGGCGGAGCTTGCATGGAAACATGAAGCCGCATTGAGAGCCTGTGGGGAGGGGGAGCTGAGCGAGTGGGCGGGCCCAAGGCAGGGGGAGCCAGGAGGCTGCTGTAAGAGGGGATGGGACCTTGATGGCAAGAGCCCGCAGTTAGGGAGAAGTCCAAGTGGGTAAATGAAGTAGATGAAGGGAGGCAGGACTGGAGGCGGGGCCGAGTGGGGCTGAGGACGAGTTGAGTGGACGGGCAGGGCTGAATGACGCGGTGGTAGGGTGGGAACAGGAATGCCCGCGTCTGGGAGGCGGGGCCAGAGTGGAAGAAACCGGGGGCGGAGCGCAGGAGGGAGGAGTCGATGGGCGGGGCAAGCTGAGCTGTGGCGGGCGGTCGGCTGGGCGAGCGGCAGGTGAATTCCTCGTCTTCAAGGTGGTTGTATCCCACAGAGGGCTTCAGAGGCTGGGAGGTGGAGCACGGCGGGAATGGCTGGGCCGTGGAAAAGAACCTAACACTGGTGCCGGGGGCTCCTTCCCAGACCTGCTTCGTGACTTCTTTCCAGTGAGTGGCCCCTGATCCCTGGGGCAAGGGCCCTGAGTTGGGAAGGGGACCCTACCTACATCCTCTCTTTCCCTCATTGATTTACTCAGTCAAATATTTGTTGAGGGCCTGCCAGTACCAGGCCCTGTTTTATATGCCAGAGAGATACCAGGAAAATTCAGAAATGCGGTGGGAGAGACATTAAACATATAAAACAGTGAAATAATAATGACAACAAAACGACAAACATTTACATATAACTCTTTGAATCCTGGCAACAGCCCTGTGACACAGATAGTATGATTATCTCCACTTTATAACAGGCACAAAACGTAGCCAACATCTAGTAAATGGCGGAGCTGAGATCTGGGCCCAGGTGGTCTGGCGCCAGAGCTTCTGATGGTGAGAAGTTCTATGAAGACATCAGAACAGTTGACTGGTTGATTCTCTCTATTCTCCTACCTCTTACCCATTTTCCTTGTTCCCTCCCCCCATATTCAACCATTCTCATGTGGCACCATCCAGCTCGCTAGTAGTTGCCAGTATATTGGGCATGAAGTGATGTCTCACTGACGTTTTAATTTGCATGTTTTGATTTACTAATAATTAAGCATCTCTCCAAGTGCTTGTTAGCCTTTTGGAATCCCTCTTTTGGAAATTGCCCATTCATCTTTTCTATTAGGGTTGATGTCTTATTCTTGTTATACGAGAATTCCTCGTATATTTTAGCCCCTTGTCCGTCCTGGCCATCTACTATCTGTATCAACTGTGTCTCTGGTGTTCTTGGTTGTTATTTTCACATATCAAATGCATTGCTTTTTTGCTTTAGAATGTGTTTTTGAAATTTTGGGTAAAAAAACCCAGTCCCTACCCAACAGTATTCCCTCATAGTCTCTTCTAGTAGCCTCATAGTTTTATCTTTCACATTTAGATCTTTAATCCACCTTTGAATACGGCGTGCCGCTTCTATCACTAACGAAGTTGCCAAATATACCTAGGTCTGTCCCCGAGCACTCTGTTCTCTTCCACTACACTATTTTTATTATGACGGCATGTTCAAATTAGGGGGGGACTGTTTACAGAGGGGTAGGCAGACCAGCAGGGGAGACTGCGTGAACCTTAGGCTAGTAACAGTGAGGGGAAGGGGCATTACCAGCCCTGGGCCTGACAAAGGTAAGGGGAGGACGCAGCTCCTAAACCTGAGACAGAGAAGGCTGTGAGGAGAGGGTCCCGTGGAGCTGTATCCTTTCATGAAGAGACGTAGCAGTCCCACGGTGATCCATTGGGAGGGAGCCAGGAGGCCACATAACCTGATTTTACTCTCCTCTCTCCCTTCCCTCCTGCTAGAGCTTCCCATCTGGGAGGTGGGACCCATCTGGGACCCAACAGGAAGGGGAGAGTAAGGGAGACCAGTCCACACAGGCAGTACACCCTCAGACTTGGGCCTCCGCACTTTAGGAGACTCCAGGATTGCCTGCTCAATGTTGAGCATCCATTTGTACTCCTGTCGCAGTCCCCACAAATGTTAGGGACATACAGGTCAGCCTGTATCCGGAGCCTAGAGCCTGGTGGGGAATGGTGGAGGGGATGTGAGAGGCCAATGGGATTGCCCAGCCCATCATATATCTTGTCTAGTAGAGCAAACCCCAAGGGAGGCTTCTTGGAGGAGGTGATTTCTGGGCTGTGACTTTCTGCCTCATCCCTACACCATCTCCTCTTTCCAGATGGTGCTTCAAGAGGCAGCTTGTGGACTTGGTGATGGAGGGGGTGTGGCAGGAGCTGCTGGACAGCGCCCAGATCGAGATCTGTGTGGCCGACTGGTGAGGAAAGAATGGCAACCTGCCCCAAGCGTCACCCGTGGTGGCAGCAGTCACGCAGAAGGGGTTCACCTGGGCCCCCATCAACCCCCTGGGCTGGCCACTGCTACTGTGCTCCTGGAGTGAGGCTGAGGTGGGGGGAAGTGATGCTCTCACAGTTGCAGAGGCAGGGAGGGGCAGGGTTTTGATGAGCCTAGAGCCCCCACTCTGCACTCTTCCCTGTCCCCCGTCAGCAGGCCCCAGGGTTGTTGACATGGGGGCCATTGGCTGGTGCCCCATCTCGCCCACTCCTCCCTCATCGCCCACACTCAGTACGGACCCTAAGGGTTTATGGACACCCAAGGCCCCAGGAATGTTTGGAGCACTGTGCCCTGAGAACTGAGACTCAGGGGGGCAGAGTTGGGATGGAGGCACTGGTTCCAGAGCATTCGGGCTCTTCCTTCAAGCTCTCAGTCCTCCATCAAAGTCTGGTTTCTTCCCTGGGGCTCTGGCTCCTCCCCAGAAATACCCAGGCTTCTGCTCCCCTGGGGGCGGTGGTTCCTCCCAGACACACACACACACACACACACACACACACACACACACCACAAAGCCTCTAGAATCCACCCCAGGGGCACCCAGGCTCTTCCCCGCGAATTTCCAGGATTGATCTCTCCATGTGCAGGGTGGGTGTGTGCGACCCTCACCCAAGTGCAGGCAGGCTTAGTCCTCAGCCTCCCTCTCCCCGCCCCAGAGACCGGGTGGGTGGCAGGGACATCAAGGCTCACCACGACCTGGCAGGTGGGGTGCCCGCGAGAACTGTGGCTGCATCTACCGGCTCCGGGTCCGCCTCCTGGACGTGTACGAACACGAAGTGGTCAAGTTCTCGGCCTCCCCCAACCCGGTCCTTCAGTGGACTGAGAGAGGCTGCCGACAGGTGGGTCCAGACTGCCTTGTGCCAGACGCAAGAGGCCACATCTTGTAGGAGTGCAGTTGTATGAAATGTCCAGAATGAGCAAATCCCTACAGAGAGAAAGCAGACAGACTAGCGATCGCCAAGGCTAGGGGAACGGAGGGATTGGAAGTGACGGCTAACGGATATGAGGCTTCTTTCTGGGCTGATGGAAATGTTCCAGAATTAGATAGTGGTGATAGTTACATACCATTGTGAATATAGGTAAAAGCCACTAAATTGTGCAGTTGAAATGGTGCGTTTTGTTAGGTGAATATTATCTCCGTAAAAAAGTTTCGCAAAGGATAAGGAGCGCCAGAAGCCAAAGATCTTCCATGGCCCACAAGGCCCCATGTGATCTGCCCCTTACCTCACTGACCCATCTCCTGTTCTCTCATTTGCTCCAGATACACTTCTACCCCAGGGCCTTTGCACTGACCGTTCCTCTGTTCCAAACACTCGTTGTCTGTGTCCTAATCCCCACATGGCTCTCTCCCCTCCTTTGGGTTTCTGCTCTAGTGTTGCCTTAGTGATGCCTTTGCTCACTCACTTTACAACCCCACCCTCCTGCCTACCTTACCCTCTGCCTCTTACCCCCAGCTGTCTTCAGGGTCTGAGTCCCCGACTAGACTGTCAGGTTCACCAGGTTGTTCTTCGCTGCTGTAGCCCCAGCACCTAGAGCAGGGCCTGGTACCTACTTGATCCTTGGGGCGTGCCTGTTGAGGTGGAGTAAGGCAGGGCCCCACAGCTCCTCAACCTCCCGCTCTCCTTCCCCATACAGGTGTCTCATGTCTTCACCAACTTTGGCAAGGGCATCCGATACGTGTCTTTCGAGCAGTATGGGAGGGACACGCGTTCCTGGGTAGGGCACTATGGCGCCCTCGTGACCCACTCCAGTGTGAGGGTCAGGGTCCGCCTGTCCTAGCTGACCCTAGCTGAGCCAGCCTTCCAGAGTGTACGGCCGTCTGCCAGACATCATCAGTCAAAGACAGCTTTGCAGTCGGGAGCCGGATGCCTGTGGACAGTGAGGGTCCCATGTGGCCCATTCCTGGCACACCTCCAGTGAACCCCACTTGCTGCTTCAGCACGGTATCACACATGCTGTGCAAGAAACCAGGGATCTAGGGCGCCTGGGTGGCTCAGTAGGTTGAGTGTCTGCCTCTTGATCTCAGCTCAAGACGTGACCTCGTGGTTTGTGAGATCGAGCCCTGTGTTGGGTTCCGCGTGGACAGTGCAGAGCCTGCTTGGGATTCTCTCTCCCTCTCTCTGCCCTCCCCTCGCTCATGCTCTCTCTCTCTCAAAATAAATAAAATAAAAAAGAAAGAAACCAGAGGTCCAACAAGACTGCTCACAGCTTTCTGGGGTAGAGGGTGGGGAGTCAGGGGGTAATCAGAGAGGTTTCCTTTGCAAATTATTTGCTTAGATACGTGGACATCAGTTGGTAGCCGGGGTCAAAAAACAAGCCAAACCAGGATTTCTAATCGTAGGGAAAGCTGCTGACCGTCTGGGGTAAGCCAATCGCTGGCAGGGAGTTGGGAGTCAGGGTGGTCTGTCCTTGAGGTGACCAACAGGGATATCAAAAGGAACCCTTTCTGTAGTTTTGGGAGTCTCTGGGGTTCAGCTGTGGGGCCCTGGGCAACCTCTGTGGGCACCACCCATCGGCACCTGCCCTTTGGACCAGGCTGGTGCCACTCCTTTCAGAATTCCTGAGTCCCTGCGGGTCCCCAAACCACGTCCCCCACCCCGCCTCCTACCTCAGGCGCAGCTTCCCTCCTGCGGGGTAACATACCACTGGAGCCAGTGTGCCACAAGGGAAAGTGCTCCTGCCAGCCTCCCCTCGTGTCTCCTGCCATCTCCCCGGCTGGGCACAGCCAACACACTGGCTCCATAAAATTGGTGCGAAACGTGAAGTGATGGGGGACCATTGTCTGTAGTCAATGCCCCGTCTGCCCCCAGCCCTGATCCTAAGAGGCCTTGTGGGATATTTCCAGCCGTGAGAACTTCAGGAGGTATGCTAAGCTCCATGCAGGCTCTGTTCTTTAGTCCAGGAGGAAACAGGCTCAGAGCTTACATGACCTGCCCCAGGTCACCTGGGCAGTAAGCAGGGAAGGCAGGACTTGCACAGAGCCGTGAGAAGGACGACTCCCAAATCTTAAAGTCGAACATGGTCAAGCGCGTGATCAGGTGAGGTCGGTATCACTCCCGGTGCCATTTCCTGAGGGAGGAAACTGAGGCCCAGCGCGGGAACAGCGCGAAGTCACAGAACAAGGAGGGAGGCAGGATTCGGATCCAGGTGGGTGTTGAGTCTGAAAATAACCTAGGAGAGCAGCTCCCATGTGGGCAGTAGCGCATCCCGATCGATCCTTTCAGTGCCCCTTCCACAGATGGGGAAGCTCGAGGGCCGGGCTCTCTTTGCACAGATCCTGGGCCTGCGGGGAAGGGAACAGGGTGGACCCAGCGCTGCCTACCAGCACCTTAAAGTAGGGGAGCATGTGTTATGCACTTAGAGCATTGAATTTATACCAAGAAGGGGGATATGTGAGTGGAGCTATTTTTTGGAGGAAATCGAGGCCCACGGGGGATGTCACAGGCTTAATACCACGCAGAGGGTAAATACCGTGCAGGAGGGTTCACATCACAACCATGGGGGTAGGGGCGTTTTTTATTGCCATTCCTCCCCAGCAGATGGCAGTACAGAGCCAGGGCCTTATCCCAACAGAAGAGCCCCCCCCCCCACGGAGCCACCGCTCTACAGGGAAGGCAAGGGTGTGGCCAGGGGGTGCCTCTTCCCAATTCACACCCAGAACCCCCACAGGCAAGCAGCGTTCCAGATGGAAGAGGCGAGGCCAGGATTTGAATCAAGGACCAGGTCCTTCCAGGGCTGGGATAGCTTCCCAAGGACTCCACAGGCACCCGGAGAGGAAGGTTCTCGTTCTGGGGGAAGCCCCGGCCGCCGGCGGCCCTGGCGGTCACTTCTTCTTCTGCACGTGGCCACAGTCGTACTTGCCGCGCACGATGGTGAGCTTCACGCCGGGCAGGTCCTGGGTGCGGCCGCCCTTCACGAGCACGACGTGGTGCTCCTGCAGGCTGTGGCCCTCTCCGGGGATGAAGCACACGGCCTCTTGGCCGGTGCTGAGCCGCACGCGGCAGCATTTGCGATTGGCCGAGTTGGGTTTCTTGGGCTTCCGGGTGAACGTGCGCAGAACCACGCCCTTCAGCTGCGGCCGGCCCTCCGTGGGGCCCGGAGGGGCAGGCGGTCGCTTCGGAAGCCCCCGGCGGTGCATCTGGTTCAGGGTGGCCATGGGGCGGGCGGCCCCGAGCTGCGGGACCAGGGCTAGGCCTGGAGACACACAACCGGGAGGGCGCAGGAGGGTTATCATCCCAATGAAGGCAACGCATAAGGCTTCTAGGCCCTGTTGCGAGCACTTTACAAGGACGGATTTGTTTACGTCCAGAGGTGGTTGCTAGTATTAGCAAAAACGTTTACTGAGCAACCGCCACAGGTCAGGTTCTATCTTAAACGTTTAACGTGAATTAACTCATTTTATTCGCAAGGAAGATACTGACTTTAATGCTGTTTAAAATCAGTAACAAACACAGACTCAGGGGCGCCTGGGTGGCTCAGTCGGTGGGGCGTCTGACTTCAGCTCAGGTCATGATCTCATGGGTTGATGGGTTGGAGCCCTGAGTCGGGCTCTGGAGCCTGGAGCCTGCTTCGGATTCGGTGTCTCCCTCTCTCTCTCTGCCCTTCCCCTGCTCATGCTCTGTCTCTCTCTCAAAAATAAATGAAGATTTAAAAAAAAAAAAAAAAAGCAAACAGATTCACACCATGTCACGTACTGTTCTATGCATCGTACCTGTATTAACTTGTGCCCGCCCCACAGCAACCCAGTGGGGTGTTTCCAGGAGGTGTCCCTCCTCCTCCCTGGCACACTCATTTCACACACAAACTTTATGCTCCCTCCACATCCAGGGAAGGCCCTGGCTCATGTTCTGTGTCTCATATTACAGCAGAATCCTCAAAGGGGCTGAGACGTTCCTAGGAGTCTCTTCCTAGTGGCGTGCCCTTGAGTAAGACTGCCGCTCAGTGGCCTCACTGTATCACAAACACCATGATCAAATCTCCCTCCTGAGTATGGTGTGTAAAGGCTGCCACGAGGGACGCATATCGAGTCAGCTTGGGAGAACGAATATTGTTAAAATGTCGATACTACCCAAAGCAATCTACATAGTCGATGCAATCCCTATCGAAATAACACCAGCATTCTTCACAGAGCTAGAACAATCTTAAAGTTTTCTTTGTATTATTTTTTTTTAATGTTTATTTATTTTTGAGAGAGACACAGTGAGAGCAGGGGAGGGGCAGAGCGAGAGGGAGACACAGAATCTGAAGCAGGCTCCAGGCTCTGAGCTGTCAGCACAGAGCCACACACGGGACTCGAACTCAGAAGGGGGAGATCATGACCTGAGCCGGTTGGACGCTTAACAGACTGAGCCATCCAGGCACCCCAAATGATCTTAAAATTTGTATGGACCCACAAAAGACCCCAAATAGCCAAAGTAATGTTGAAAAAGAAAACCAAAGCAGGAGGCATCACAGTCCCAGACTTCAAGCTGTATTACAAAGCTGTAATCATCAAGATAGTATGGTACTGGCACAAAAACAGACACTCAGATCAATGGAACAGACTAGAGAACCCAGAAATGGACCCACAAACGGATGGCCAACTAGTCTTTGACAAAGCAGGAAAGAATATCCAATGGAAAAAAGACAGTCTCTTCAGGAAATGGTGCTGGGAAAACTGGACAGCAACATACAGAAGAATGAACCTGGACCACTTTCTAAGACCATACACGAAAATAAATTCAAAATGGGTGAAAGACCTAAACGTACGAAAGGAACCATCAAAATCCTAGAGGAGAAAACAGGCAACAACCTCTTTGACCTTGGTCACAGCAACTTCTTACTTGACATGTCTCCAGTGGTAAGGGAAACAAAAGCAAAAATGAACTATTGGGACTTCATCAAGATAAGAAGCTTCTGCACAGCGAAGGAAACAATCAGCAAAACTAAAAGGCAACCGACAGAATGGGAGAAGATATTTGCATATGACACATCAGATGAAGGGTTAGTATCCAAAATCTATAAAGAACTTATCAAACTCAACACCCAAAAGACAATCCAGTGAAGAAATGGGCAAAAGTCATGGATAGACACTTTTCCAAAGAAGACATCCGGATGGCCAACAGATACAATGAGAAGATGCTCATCATCAGGGAATGCAAATTGGTGCAGCCACTCTGGAAAACAGTATGGAGGTTCTTCAAAAAATTAAAAATAGAACTACCCTATGACCCAGCAATTGCACTACTAGGTATTTATGCAAAGGATACATAAATGCTGATTCGAAGGGGCACATGCCCCCCAATGTTTATAGCAGCGCTATCGACAATAGCCAAAGTATGGAAAGAGCCCAAATGTCCATCGACTGACGAATGGATAAAGAAGGGGCACCTGGGTGGCTCTGTCGGTTAAGTGTCCAACTTCAGCTCAGGTCATGATCTCTTGGTTTTTGAGTTCGAGCCCCATGTCGGGCTCTGTGCTGACTGACAGCTCAGAATCTGGAGCCTGCTTCAGATTCGGTGTCTCCCCGCCACCCCCCCCCCCCCCACTCATGCTCTCTCAAAAAAAAACATTAAAGAAACATTTTTTAAAAAGATGTGGTATATCCACATACACACAATGGAATATTACTCAGCGATCAAAAAGAACGGAATCTTGCCATTTGCAACAACATGGATGGAACTAGAGTGTATTATGCTAAGCAAAATAAGTCAGCCACAAAAAGACAAACATCATATGATCTCACTCATACGTGGAATTTAAAAAACAAAACATATGAAGATAGAGGAAGGGAAGCAAAACTAAGATAAAAACAGAAAGCGAGACAAACTATAAGAGACCCTTAAATACAGAGAACTCAGGGCTGCTGGAGGGGGTGCAGGGTGGGGAGGATGGGCTAAATGGGGGGGAGGGTCATGAAGGAGGGCACTTGTTGGGATGAGTACTGGGTGTTATATGTAAGTAATAAATCACTAAATTCCACTTCTGACATCATTATTACATTATATGTTAACTAACTTGGATTTAAACTTTTAAAAAAATTAAGAATTAAAAAAAAATACATATCAGCTGAATGAATGAGCCAAGCGCTTTGC